GCTCAATGATTAAATATATATTTTCCTATGCCACGTCATTACTTAAACAGTTCGTCCTTTAGTGTTTTAGTTAGCGATAGCCCTCAACATACATTGCCTTATTCCCTTTAACCTTTTTGAATACTGATGTTTTGTGCTAGTCTAGTCCTATTATCATCCTTCTTCTTTGCTTTGCCCGTCCACTTGGGCCTAGAAGAAGATGGTATAGACTAGGTTAGATTGATAGGAACGCCCATACTCTTGATTATCCCTTCATCTGTTACCAATTCTATAAGAATATCAGCGAGTGTGAACTCAAACTGATTCCTTATTTAGTTCACTCTAACAGAGTCGAACGAGTTTGGTAACAAGGCAATAGTCATGTCAACTTGAAACTTACCACCCAAGTCAGTCTTATTGATCTCCAACTAATTTTTAAATAATTCGATTTCATACTGGAGTTCCTTAGGCTATCTTGATGCTATTCAAGTCTGACATAGTACTTTTGCATACTCTCTATCTAATCTCACCAAAACATCTTATTAAATTTTAACATGATGCTTGAAGAAAATAAAATAATGTAAATGTTAGCTTTAGAGCGTATTCGAGGTAAACTCTAGAATATTGCACCAAGTCATCTCATTTGCCTTATTTCACTTATTCAAAGCATTAATGTTCTCTTGTGTATCTTAAAGTAAAAGGATTAGGTTTAGAAGTAGTAAATACATTTGTACCCTTACATTGTGAATAAAATATCTAAGTTCCTTTCTCAGTCAATATTAATGAGATCCAGTTACATTGAATATGTAAGCAAGCAGATAAACTGGATTAAACATAATTAATTTGAATATAAATGCATTCATACAATATGCAAGGTGAATTATTAATAATGTCATGCATATTTAAAATTAAAATGAGCTTGTTAACCATATAATACAATAAATCTCAATCGAACAAGAGATCATTATCATTATTGGTGAACAATCCCTTTTAATTAATGCGGGTCCCTCAACTCTGTAGCATAATAAATCAACCAATCAATATGTCAATAACTTATCCTGTTGGAGGAGTTCATTATTACTATTATTGAGATTCATTTGCTATTAGGCGAGCACTTCCATTAAAATAATAATATGTGGGTCCCTTAACCACTGCATGAAAAATTGAATAACCAATACGCCAATAATTTATTCGGTTGGCGAAGTTCATTATTACTATTGGCAGGCAAATCCCATCATTTCCATATCTCTTAAGACAATGCCTTGTCTATCTATATGAAATGATTTCCGATTATGTTTAGCCTTTCTAAAATCACCTAGTATAGACCACTCTGTTGGGGAGCTAACACTATTGATTTTAGATTGAGTGTATAACGTTATTAATGCTCTAATGAAAAATAAAACATTAAATATCTTGTCATTATAATCTAGACTCTTTAAATCATGCGTAGGGCCTTATTTCTAAAGATCTAATTACAATGAACATTTAATATTATTATTTTTATGAGATAACCATTCTTGTAATATTAAGACTCTTCAAATCATGCGTGGGGCCTTATTTTTGAAGACCTAATTACAATGGTGTTAATAACGAATGCCATGGGGCAATGTATATAAATCCCCGCTCCCACTCAATTTTTAATCATCCATAATTAGGGTTTTCATTTTATTCAAATACATGATATGATGCATGTTAAACGTCTTGATTTTAATCCAATTAAATTTAGAAAATATTTAGACTTTAAATGATTCACTAATATTTAATTTGAAGCACACTTTAAAAATAATTTACAAAAATAATTTTTCGTTTCCCAATAAGTTCTCTCAAATTAATTAGTATTCAAATCCAATTAATTTTCATAATTTAATTAATATAAATCAAGTTATTTAATTAAATATCATGGATCCAATGCATGAATAATAATAATAAACAATTAATTATTCCATGCATCCGTTAAATAAATAAATAACAGACAGAAGCAATTTAAATGGCCAATGGATTCAGCTTTTAACATTTATATGCTCTAAGTAATGCGCGAGGGTCTATCATTAGCCGCGTCACATGGGATTATTTCCCATCAATCCCTCTTGATCTCCGGCCAAAACCTTGCCGCCGACAACTCTCCGGTCGCCGAAAAATTCCAGAAATTAAATTAGGCCTTAAAAAATTCCAGAAAAATTCCGGAAAATTTCTAAAAAATCCCAGAAAATTCCTGAAGCCTAATTTAACCCTCTTGGACCTTCTTGAAGCTTCATAGCATCCTTTAACGAAGATTACATGGCTTTAAAAATATTTACAATTTGAAATATAATGGAAAAAATTAAATTACATCATTGAACTTTCAAACGGCTAAATCAAAGTCTTAATTACATTCATCCAAAGATAAAATTACATTCAATATTCCTATAAGCTTCATCCATGGCCCAAAACACATATCATCATCCATTCACAATTATACATACATCATCATGTATCAACATATATTAATATATTAATTCATACATCAACATACATCAATAAATAAATATATGCATATCAAAATTGGATCCATGAATGATGAATTTTCATAAAATCATGATCTCTAGTAATGAATCAAACCATGCTCTGATACCACTGTTAGGAAACGTGCAAGTTTTAAAAACTTTTCGAGGAATTTAAATTCATAGATCTTGATCCATTACATAGAGACAAGTTTTATGTAAAAATAAAACATGATGTATCATTCAATTAAAAGATTGAATACTTACATCAAGGTTTGAGTAAACCTTAGATCTCTCATCTAAAGTGAATGTTCTCACTTATTGTAGATTCCTTAGCAAGATGCATTCTTCTTGGATCTCCATCTTCTTGGTAATTGTTTTGCCTTTAGGAATCACTCATATGCCTCCATGAATGACCTTGGAAAATTAGGCTTGTGGGAGCCTCCATTAGATGAGAACATAAACCCTAATTTTCTAGAGAGAGAAAATATATTCCTTTTTCCTTCTTCTAAAAATCACCCCCTAAAATATACATAGACCATGTAAATTTATAGGCAACATAAAAATAAAGAAAAGGAAATAACAAATCCTTCTCCATCTCTAATTCATATGTCTCAAATCTAATATGATTCCAATATCAAGTTGGGCTGTGAGTGAGAATCCATTGAGCCTATTATTTTATTGGCTACAATGAATTAATAATTGGCCCGGTCCATGGACCCAATTCAATTAATTCATAAATTAATTTCTACTCCACTAAAAGAAATTAATTGAACTCCAATTAAATAATAAATAACCTCTAAGTCAATATTGCACTTTGACCCCTCTATGCATAATTAGTTATCGGATAAATAAAGCCATCAATCCGACTACTTAATTAATATATCTATTTTGGTACCTCTGATTATTTCTGCCTCGATCACAATAAAACATTTGTTTGACAAAAATAATAATTTAAATAAATAAATATATAATAAATCATTTTGTCTTAAAACACACGAAGGCCTTCGAATTTACTTTGTGATCAACCATAATCAATACAAAATAAATACAAGTAACAATGATGCAAATATTAAAAATATAACCCTCTAACTATTAATTACATAACTATCCAAAGTGTCGGTCTAAGGATCCCGAAGAATCCGCCGAACAAATCAAAGTAATTATTAATTAATAAAAGAGTCTATACTTTTCTCATGCTTAAGAGTCAAATGCCATGACGGTGCTAGGGAGTAATTGCATACGACGGCTCTCGCAATATATCTCAACCTAACGCGGATCCAGTTCAAGTCTTAATTAATTATGAGTCCATCCATAATTACCGACTATGAACAATTTATAATTACTATTTATATATTATGCATTGATTGCCATCACATACATATATATAAATATTTCTTGTAATTACATGGACACTATCAATTTCATAGTGAATCGAAACATAATACATTGAATTCACCAATTATATAACTCATAAATATTTCAGATATGTCAGAAACATATGTCACTATAATCCAGATAGGAATTTGCTATGCCAGGGCATATAAATCCCAACAAAAATCTACCTATTGTGGTGGCATTTTTGGGGTGTCAACGACATGGAGAGGTCAGCTTTGCGAGATCTATTACTACTGTTCTGAATATTTTCAACAGGTGTTTGGGGAGTGTGGATTGTAGTAAAGATAAATATTTTTATTTTGGATTTTCTGTGATTGTTATTTCTCAAGTTTGAGCATGAACTTGAGAACAACTTGTACGATTTAATTAGTGAAGATCATCGGTTTGCCATGTGATTTTTTCCCTCCCTCTTTCTCCATGTATATCTTTGATGTTGATTCTTTATTTTTCTACATTGTTTGTTGTTTATTTTTTCAAGCTTAATTTTCTCAGCCCAAAAATTTTTGGACCAACAAGTAACCCCGAGTGTGATGTACCACAACCACCAGCCAACTGTATCAGAAATCGAAAATCAAAGCACACTTCATGTACTTATAATTAAGTTGAACCTCCTTATCTGTTGAATCTTTTCATTGATTGTGCCCCTCGTAGTTTTTCAATGTACAGTATATAAGTTGGTGGTGTAAAATAGAGTCGGATATATAACACAAAAATGACAATGAACTAAAAATTTGAGATCTCTAATCATATTCTTGGAGTAACCTTATCTTTTAAAATTTCACAAAAGCAAAGCACACTTCAAGTATATTATGAAGTACACTATGCTTTTCTTATTAATAAGGAAAACAGTGGTACTTTTCAACTTTAGTGCAGATAAAAACAAAAATATCAAAAACAAATTATACTCCCTTTGTCCAAAAAAAAGATGTCCTATTTAGGGAGTCTCAAATGTAAAAGTAGTTTTGGAATCGCAATGATGAAATCAGCGTTGACAGCATTAATTTGTCTAATTTGAGACGGAAGTAGTAGTTAAATAATTTCCTAAACAGGACATTTAATTTGAGACAGAGATAGTAATTAAACGATTTCCACACAAGATATTTAATTTGCAACCAAAGTAATAATTAAACAAATTAATGCTTCAGCATTGCGATTCCAATACTACTTTTACATTTCATCATTTTTCCTCTTTCATTATTTACGTGGGTCCTTACTTCCATTTGCAAACTTTCTTTAACTTTTGTACACGCATTTTTCCTTTCCCATTATCTGTGTCTCTCTCTTTCATTTTTTTATTTTTGTCCCCACCCATCTCTATCTCTCTCAAGAGTGTTGAATTCATGGATGTTGCTGGTCGAAGTTGCCGGTTTCAATGGATTGAATGAAGTTTTTGTGGTTTGGGTCCCTGTTGATATTTACTCTCCCATAACAGTCATTTAGTAAGAACTAGCATCTTGTCACGTGCATTGCACGTGATTAACATAAAAAAAATTGCATATAATTCAGTTTCGCTTATGATTAACTAACGAAACTTTTTTAGTTGTTATATTTATGCACAATAATTTTAAAAAAAAAATGGTCACTTAAGGCAATAATACATATATATTAAATATAATATAATCTCTCGTAACTATAACAAAAACTATATAACACATGTTTGGCTTGCAAAGTCTCAAACACACCTTTACACTGAATGGAGATGTGAATGCATATATATACTGTAATTGAAGATTTTGTGCACCAAAATGCCAACCCTTGTAATACTCAGCAATCTCACACCCTTGTAACGCGTCTTTCACGCGCACCTTCTTCTATGGCGACTGCAATTCTGCCCTAAAATCGAAGTATCAAATCAGGTATTTTTGGTTCATAAAAAGAAAATTGAAGAGGAAAAAAACAGTAAATACTAAATACATAAATAAATAAGTACCTCAGTATCAACCTGTTTATAATCTACAATCTGTTGTCCGTACAATTGAGGAACAACCCAGTAACCCTATACATGATATATCCAAAATGAACCACACAGAACAATAAATTTAAGAAAGAGATTCCAAAAACAATGAAGATAGAGAAAATCATCTTACAGAGCATTGGCCAAATTGTTGAGAAGCTTCTCAGAATCTTCAAAGAAGAGAGACACCACTTCCACAACAAAATCCGGGTTGCTCTCATCGTGCAGTTTCTGGAGTTGCAAAAATTGATTGTCCAAAAAACACTTCAGACAACCAACAAAAACTAATCACCAGAAAGCCTCAAACAAAGAAAAATCAAAGCACAGAAAATCAGTAAGAGAACCCAAAACAAACAAACGCATATGAAGATCATTGAAATCTTTGTGGACAATACTGTCCTCACGATACAGAGACGTCTGAGTAATCAACAAACTGTCTCTGCAACGGACCGATGAAATCCATGGTTGCTTGCTAGCTTCTGGGTTGTCCTCACAATCAAACACGATCAAAACCCACTTCGAATACAGCAAATCAAACACAATCATTCCTTCTTCCATCATTTCTTCTCCCTTTTCTTTTCCCCTTTTTCGGTTCTTTCTCCTTTGTTCCCTTCCGCTATGTTTTCATTTGGCAGTGGTTCTGTTCATATTGTTGTTGATCTCCTGGTACTAAAATTTTATATTACTTTCCTGAATTCTTATCACAGTTCACGTTACAATTTCTGTCTCTCTTTCTCATTTCTTTGTAACTGTAACATTTTTGTTTGAGATCAACAATAATGGGCTATTCAGTATCTAATCACAAATGACTCAACAATAATGGACTATCACTCCATCAGAACATTTTTCATTTAAAAAAATATATATTTTAATAAATAAAAGCCCCACCCCACTGCTTTTCTTTTTGCAAAGTTTTCGTCTTTCCCTCACCTATGAAATACGGACACTCCTCTTAAAGGCCCCGTACTCCGTATCGGATACTTTTCGAACACTGACACCTATATCCGACACTTCTGTAAAGTGTCCAAATATTATTTTTTATTGGACACGCGTGACCGAGGCTCGGACATACGGTCCGACACTTCTGTGAGATAAAATTTATTTTCTCTCACTCCTCTCAGTCTTTCCTCTTCTTCAATTATCTCTTTTCATGAACAAGATATATATACATATATATATTTAAATTACATGAACAAAACTTTATGTCAAGAATGAGTTGCTAAGAGGAGACGGTCTACTTTCTTCACACATGCTTTTTCTTGAAAAGAAAATGGCTCAAACAGAATCAAATGAACAATAGATTTTGTAACTTGGAATGATGCTTGGAATCATTCCCAATATTTTAGAATTGAAGAAATCAGTCATGGAAACCGAAACAAAACCCTCACAAACGGCTGAATCGCATAGCCTTACAGTTACAGACAAAATCTTAAACATACTCTCTGGACTCCCCGTTCTAAATCTACTGCAATACAGATGTGTCTGCAAATCATGGCAATCTATGATCTCCGATCCCCAATTCATCAAAACCCACCTCCACCAATCAACCCAATCACTTGACACCCAAAGGCTCAAAAGAAAACAATTTTTTTATCATCTCCATGCTTTACTTTTCTGAGTCATGAGCAAACAAGGAGGAGAGAAACAAGGAGAGGGAGAAACGAAGGGTACGCACGCGGGATGAGAGACAAAAAAGGGAGACAAACTAAAATGGGTCGGTTAAATGGGTATGACCCATGTTTTATATTTTTTAATGAAAAAGAAATGTGACAAATTCTTATTGGGCCACGTCAACTTGGAGGACAACTCCTGTCCTGATAAAAAATCACACGCAAGCAAAAAAAATGAGATTTACATGGCAAATTACTAGTCTACGGACAAAGAATGACTAATTTTACTTCAAAAACTTGATTACTAGCTATTCTCTCCCCTCACAATCTCAAATCTCTTTTTTTCTCTACAATTTACTCTTTTCATACCCATATTTATTTATAGAGTCTTCAAACCTAAATTCTTTTCTTATTAGACAAATATTGTCCAACTTGCCTATAAAGAGTTATCATATTAATCTCAACTCTAAAATAGGAACTTTATGGAACACAATTTCCTTAACAAATTTTAACATTCCAAAACGGAAATAAAATTAATTTCAATATTCTAAAACGAAAAAGGAAATTAATTTCTATAGACAATTTTAACTCACAAACTCAACAATCTCCACCTTGACTCGAAATTAATTTTTACACACTCTTCTGAAGCTCCACCTAGAATGAAGTTCACTCTACATTGAACAAAGATTATGAGCCCCTTTTTCTAAATTCTTATCCCAATCCACGATACAAGTCAAAAGATGAAGGGACCGTATATCATATCCATCGGACCATCTTTCTAACACACGTCACAAATTACCAGCCACAAGTCTATCAGTCTATGGGGGAAGATTGCATAACATTACAAAATATCACTATTCTTAAGGGTAAGAAGATATTTGTTTTTGAAATTATCTCAATATATAATAATAGACATCCACACAAAAAAGAGGTTTATGACTGAAACTATTTATTTTCTTATTGTGAATTAACAATCATGATAGTATTTTTTCCTAAGTAGTTCCCACTCTGCCTGCTATATTACTTTTTTTAACGAAAAAAAAAAAAAAAATTTCTAGTGCCATCCCTGGATTTGGAATGCTTCCCCCTTTGCATTTACTAATTTAATAATCCAACCAACTATTGGTACTATTTATTTGTTTGCTTATTTTAATCCCAAGTGGGTTGTTGAGTCGGTTTAGGCAGCCTTTGCAACATGGGTTGGGTTTGGAACAATAATAACCCAATTGATTATTATGTTTAAACTGGATAACGCTTAGTGCCGTACAAACACTGTCTGAGCCCAACCCACTCAAGGCCCAAGTAGATCAAAAGGCCCGATAAAGTTTGAATTCTTGACTATTTAAGCTAATGAGTAATTTATACATCCTTCGAATTCAAATGATGCCATTATATGAATGGAGACGTGTTATCCCATCGATGTGGGCCTTATCAATGATATCATGTGGTGGGACTCACGCCCATCACTCATATTCGGCATCCACCAAACTGAGAGGATATACCATTATCCGAAGCTGAATACTGGTTCATGAACAATTAAGACTACAAGAAAGGAGGAATATACAAGGCCAAGCCCAACAGAGACAGCAAGAGACCACACCAGAATAGCCAATCACGTCAAATTCGATGCTAATTGGGGGTTCCTTTTCGGTTCCCCTATCATTACTCTTATTTTAAATATGTTTGAACACCTTCAAATCGTTTAAATCCAAACAATTGTACTCACTTCTAGAAAATTTTCAGCACAAGATACGAATTTTGAGATTTCGTTAAGTGGTCAAAAGAATTCAAAATTGCAAAAAATAATATATTAGTATAATGCTTATTGAGTATAGTTTTTGTCAATCTAAAAAACATCATAAATTATAAATTGTTAAAAATAAGACAAATAACTTAACTCAATTAAAGCTTCACAATGCATTGGAGTTAATCTATACTTTGAACAACAAAACTCAAAGCTTAATAAAGAAAAACAAAAACATGCATAAAAGCATAAAACACCCCCTAAAAGAATTATCTACTCCCAAAAACTGTTGTTTCTAATCACTAGACCGGAAGGGTTGCTAAATAAGTTCTAAAATGTGTTTCAACTTTACATCCTTAATCCAAAAACTGAGGGTACCAAAGTTTCTCATAAATTGCCACTTGTTTTGTAATACTATTAGATTATGCCTTTTAGAAAGTCACTTTTATATGAACTATGAACCACTTTAGTCATTGTACATGTAATTTTAATATGATACTTATCTCTATTCCAGGTATTCCTATTAGGGTGAAAGAGTCTACATACAATCCGAGTGAAGGAGACATTTATGGTTTGTTTAAGTTCACTGCTATTTTTTACTTTTTGAAATGACCTGAAATGTTATCTTTCCATTTTAGAAATTTTTTTTTTTTTTTGGAAGGTTAAGCAAATTCACATATTCATGCTCTTAATGAGGCTCGAATGTTCAACCTCTCTTTTGAAGAGGTGGGTTTATACTAATTGGACTATAACTCATTTGCTTTCCATTTTAGAATTAATGTCTAAAATTTACAACATATTGTTGGCCTTAACCAATTCAGGGTTGGATCAATATAACTTAAGACATAATCCAAAAACTCATAAGGCTTTTACTAAGACAATTCAAGACCACTGCCAGGAATTGCTCTTCGGCCTCAAATAATTGCTAATTGCCCTTGTGTGATTTGGAGGTGCTTCTTTCACGGTGCAACAAACGCAAGGAAATTTTTTTCCTATTGGACCATCTTTCTAACACACCATACACAGTGATACACACAACGAAGATCAAACTAAATAGACATGTCCACACACATCACGAAACTACCAGCCACATGTCTATGAGAACATAGCATAACGTTACATAAAATCACTATTGCTAAGGATAAGAAGATATTTGTTTTCGAAATTGTCTCAATCTATAATAATAGACAGCCACACAAAAAAAAAAGTTTATGACTGCAACTATTTATTTTTCTTATTGTGAATTAACAATCATGATGGTATTTTTTCTTAAGTAATACCCTCTTTATGGACTATGTTACTTTTCTTAATCCCCCACCCCAAAAAAAAAAAAATATTATTATTGGTGCTTTTAAAACAGTAACGCCGTTAGAAGTGCGCCTGACCAAGAAACTTCAGGCTTCAGTGTTAAACCTGCCTCCCTTGGTAGGCTTGATCTAGTACAGTAGGCCCACAGTGGGGTTGGGCCAAGATGTTTACGACAAATCTTTTTTTTTTTTTTTTGGGGTGCAAGCCCAATGGATTATTACCTTTCGTGAATTTGGAATGCCTCGACCCTGCATCTACTAATTTAATATCTAAAGTGTACTTCTTGCCTTGCCAAAAAAAAAAAATTCTACTTAAGTTAGATATTAAAATTTGAAAGCAACTCATTTTTTATTTATTATTAGTACTAGTATAGCTTTTTTTTTTTTTTTGGGTGAGGAGAGGGGGAACTAACCTCAACCCTCACTTTCTTTTTGGGGAGGTATAAAAAAATATCACTAGACTATAATTTTTGGTTAATTTAATTCAATTTAGTTAGTTTGATTATTTGTCTTATATTGTATTTTATTTGATATAAACATAATAAAATAAAAAATATATTGAAGGACAACAGACAAAAAAATAGAATAAAATAAAATCTATATACACTAGAGTTAAGACTTTTAAGTAAAGGATTGTTTGTTTGTTCTTTTATTTTTTCCGATAAGTAATTTTCTCTTGTTGAACTCCTCTTTTTGATTTTGAAATTTTGAAAGGTTGAGCTTTAATTTGTTATTAAAGTGCATTGAAAATTTTTTTTTTCTGGTTTGTAGGTACAATGAAGCAAAAGTTGCTTTACATATTTTGGAAGGTCGCTGAAATGATATTGATAGGTAAGGAAACAGTAAATTAACATTATCAACTTTTTGTTCATGCAGCCATGGACATTATTTGTATTACATATTGTATCAATATTAAATTTATTTGACTTCAAACAGTGCCCGCGATCAAGCACATCCGAGAGGCAAAATGTAAACATTATCACGCTGTTAAACTTTTCAGATATATTTGCTTGAAACTTATAGAATTAGAATCTCCAGAAGTTGAAGAAATAATTAAAAACTCACTAACAACTGCAATAACTTCTGGGATTCCGGAAATCGTTGAAGTGATCATTTCAGTATTTCCTGAAGCAATTTATCTAAAAAATGAGGCGGCTGAAAGCTTATTTCATATTGCAATTTTGAATGGACAGAAAAACATATTCAAACTCATTTGTCAATTTACGGACAAGCTTAATGTGCGTAGTGTTTTATCAATACAAACTTCATTAGACAAAACTGGTCTGGATATGTATGTTTGACAAGTGAGCAAAAACTCAAACTTAAAACTAGTACAGTTGGTGCAGCTCTACAAATGCAACTCGAATTGCAGTGGTTTAAGGTAACTACTTTTTATTGAAAAATTTATCATGATGTCTTACTTTTCTCCGTAAATGACTATTGTTTTATATATTCTTTTAATTTTAATTAATAATAAGTATTGCATTATAAGTGTAAGAATACATATATGTCTCACACACACATATATAATATAAGAAGTAATGAAGCGAAAAATGGTTGACTAATTCATATTGATATGAAGATTTTGGTCGGACTTGACACCAAAAATATCCATTCTCTATGTCTCACGATCTCTCATCCAATCGTAATACACCAAGTTGCAATCATTTAGTTTTTGGATTTAGGACACCAATAATATTGATTCAGTTTTCTTAAAATTATTTTTTGAAAACTTAATTATAAAAAAAGTTTGTTTCAGAGAATTGTCTTGAAAACAGTTTTTTGTTTTTTAAATTCTTCAAAATTATTTTCAGAGTTACCGATTAAGACCATGGTAAAATTTTCAGTTTTGGTATGTAGTTGTGGTTTTCATTTTTTTATTATAAAAAAAACGACAACAAAGTCCGTTTGACAATTTTATTTTGACTTTTCACATTTCAAAACTTTAAAACTAGTTGTCATTTACTTCACAATTTTCGTAACTCCAAAATGGAGTTTTGGTTTTCAAATACTATTATTTATTATTTTTC